AGTGACTTGCTCAAAGTCATACAGCGTGCCGTGGCAGAGCTAGGAGTGGGATCTGGCTCAGCAGCATGTCATCCAGGAGCTGAGACCTGAGTCTTGCGGGGGGGGGGGGGTTCCTCACCTGTAGAGAGGGTGGAGAGATACCACCTGCCTCACAGGCTGCTGGGCGGAGCTGGGTTGCTTAGTCGGGAACCTGTCAATCACTCAGCACTCAGTAAGTAGGAGCTGATATTTAATGAAGCAAAATAGTCAGACTGAGCTGCTGCTGTGCCATAACAAGTATGCCAAGGTTTTGAGGAAGGACAATGAGGGTAGAAAGCTACATCTTAATTGCAGGCGGGACAAAGGCATGCGTCTCAGACCCCTCTGCCTCATCTCTCTCCTTCCCTCCTTTGGCTTTACTGCTCTCTGTTTCTGATTCTGTCACTTTTTCACTAATACATATATGAATTTCATCAACTTTGGAAATTTCACAATTAATAAATATATTATCATTATAAAATATTTTAACCAGTGCAGAGCTTTATGGAGTGAACTGGGAAGTCCTCACGCCATCCCTTCTCCATATTCCCCCTTCCCACCCCACAGTTAATCACTGATGTTCTGTTTCTTTCAGGCATTTCTAAGTGAGTGTGTGGTTTTTCTATTAACATAAATTGGATCATTTTGTACTTATTGTGTAAAATAGTTTTAATTCAACAATAAATCTTAGAATCTTTCTATGACTGATCTACTTCATTCTTTTGATCTCATATTTGGTATTTCATAATAAGGATGTGGTTTCTCTAATAAGTCACCTGTTGGAACATTTAGGTTGGATCCAATTATTGCTACTGTGAACAGTTTGTGATGAATGTCCTTTTAACATGCATTTTGGGTTACATGTGCCAGAATATTTCTTTAAAGAAGTAGATCCCTAGAAGTAGAACTTTGTGCCAAGCAATTATTACATCTTAAAACAGCACAGGTACACATGGGCAGAACCATCTGACCCGTATGTAAAGACTTTGAGAACACCAAGTTTCAGCAACGATTGTCATGACCCTCTTTTCTCCTGGTTCTGGAATTACTAAACCATTGGCAGGGGGGGCAGAGATTGCTCTCCTTTTCATCTAGTGAAATTCATGATGGAGCTGAAGATGGTTTGGAACAAGCAGAAACTATGTGTACCACTTTCTTTTCTCTGTGTCTACTCCCTCTATTCAAGAGAGGAATTTGGGGTTGGGCTAAATGTGTGTATGGATCTTTGCTTTAGTACCATAAAGGTAAATACAGAAAATGTTTTAGGGGGTGAAGATCTAACCACTCTTCAGTTAAAAAACAAAGAATCCTGCAGAATTGCCAGATGGATGGGTGGATTTTTTTGTTCTGCTTCCTAATTCCCAGACATAATAGAGATCTTCAATAAACTTTTTTTTAAAGAGAGAGAGAGAGAGAGAGAGAGAGAGAGAGAGAGAGAGAGAGAGAAAGAGAAAGAGAGAATTTTAGTATTTATTTATTTATTTTTTAGTTTTCGGCGGACACAACATTTTTGTTTGTATGTGGTGCTGAGGATCGAACCCGGGCTGCACACATGCCAGGCGAGTGAGCTACCACTTGAGCCACATCCCCAGCCCCAGAGATCTTTAATAAACTTTTAAAGGCCATTTTTTTTTTTTTTGGCAGCACAAGAATGACTAAAGGCTTTGGGGGATGTGTGGCTGAAACTGATAAAAAGAGTTGGGTGCCTGGGCCAGAAGATCCCACATGGAGTGCGACCATTGGCAGAATTGTGGAAAGTAGGGAAAATCAAACAAAATCCAAGTTTAGATCCCTTTTTAAGAAGGTTCTTGTTTTACTGAGTTTTCTATTAGGAAATGAACCAAAATAGGAGAATAAAAATGTTGGGGGAGACTTCTTTGGAAAAAGCTAACATTCTAAAGAATTGTTATTATTGCGTCATAGGATGGAATACAATTTTATTACCTCTGAGAATAAAATTGTTCTCCTATTTCTAGGAAATGACTGGTTGTTCTGTAGTCATGGTAATAAATACTTATCAGAACTTGTTTTAAACCTGCTTATTGTTCAATGACAGCTTCATGTCAGCTCACACACGTCCCAAAGTCACTCAGAATGTCTTCCCTCTGTCACCAGGCTTCCACAGTGAAGGCAGACCAGTCCTTAAACAGCCCTGCCTGAAGCCCAGCTTCTCCTGACGTCCATGTTTCCACAGCCCTGTACAGGAGCAGCTCCCTTGGTCACTAGGAAACAGACTGCTGTAAACCGCAGCATCTCCACAAAGAAGCCAGTGAAAACCCAGCTCTTCATTTCAGATTCTATTTATTTATTTATTTTTGGTACTGGGGGATTGGACCTAGGGGCCCTTAACCACTGAGCCACATCCCCAGCCCTATTTGGTATTTTATTTAGAGACAGGGTCTCACTAGTTGCTTAGCATCTCTGTGTCTATTCCCTCTATTCAAGAGAGGAATTTTGATCCTCCTACCTCAGCCTCCCGAGCCACTGGAACTACAGGCTTGTTTAGGCTTGTTTCAGATATTGAGTGGTGGTCTTTTCCTTTAACATTTCTTATCTCCGTATGATGAGAAGTAATAGCCCCTCATTTTACTGCTTATTTTAGTAATTGGAATCCTCTCTATATATTCTCTGTTTCATTTATCTGCTCTGATTTTGTACCTGATTCCAAGTTTTATTTGATGTTCTTTTCAAATTTCTTAAAATGAAAGGTTAATGATTTGAGATTATTCTTTATAACATAGACATTTACAGCTATAATTTTCTAATTACTATTTTATCTGCATCCCATAAGTTATAGTAGGTTGTTTTCATTTCTTTCTAATTTTCTTGATGATTTCTTCTTTGATCCATTGGTTCTTTCAGAGTAAGCCGTCTGATTTTACATGTATGTGGAAGTAGCATTCAGTGACAGAGATTTTATGACTTTAATGATAAAATTTAAAACATATTACTTAGGGAAAAAATCTAGTTATAAATAACTAAGTCTTTAAAAGTGAAACTAAATAATGTTAGTGTGAACAAGTCTGGGAAGATACTTTTAAGAAAAAGTAAGGGGAGAATAAGAGATTAAAATGAACCATGCTATTTGAAATATAAACAGAAAGTTCCAAGTAAGAATTTGGTGTAAGTATTTTATTTACCTCAAGAATATATGCTAGAAATGCAAATTAAAATTACTCTTGGGGTTGTGGCTCAGTGATAGAGCTTTTGCCTAGCACATATGAGGCCCTGGGTTCGATCCTCAGCACCACATGAAAATAAATAAATAAATAAAGATATTGTGTCCAACTACAACTAAAAAATAAATATTAAAAAAGAAAATCTAAGATTTCATCTCACTCCAGTCAGAATGGCAGCTATTAAGAATACAAACAACAATAAGTGTTGGAGAGGATGTGGGGAAAAAGGCACACTCATACATTGCTGGTGGGACTGCAAATTGGTGCAGCCAATATGGAAAGCAGTATGGAGATTCCTTGGAAAACTTGGAATGGAACCACCTTTTGACCCAACTATCCCACTCTTCAGTTTGTACCCAAAGGACTTAAAAACTGCATACTACAGGGACACAGCCACATCAATATTTATAGCAGCATAATTTACAAAGGCAAAATTGTGGAACCAACCTAGATGCCCTTCATTAGATGAATGGATAAAGAAACTGTGGTATATACACACAATGGAATATTACTCAGCATTAAAAGAGAACAAAGTCATGGCATTTGCAGGTAAATGGATGGTGTTGGAGAATATCGTGCTAAGAGAAGTTAGCCAATCCCAAAGAACCAAATGCTGAATGTTTTCTCTGATAAGTGGATGCTGATCCATAATGGGGATGGTGGGGAGCATGGGAGGAATGGAGAAAATTTAGATAGAACAAAAGGGGATGGAGGGGAAGGGAGGAGGGGTTGGGGGTGGGAAAGATGGAGATGGACATCATTACCCTAAGTACATGTATGAAGACACGAATGGTGTGACTCTACTTTGTGTACAACCAGAGACATGAAAAATTGAGCTCTATATGTGTACTATGAATTTAAATGCATTCTGCTGTCATGTATAACAAATAAGAATAAATATAGTTAGAGAAATGATACTCTTGCACCTTGTTTCATTGTTTTGACTTAAAATAGTGATAATTGTGATTCGGAACAGGCAGTAGAAGGGGGCATGGGCTGAAACATTCCTAAGAGACATGCTTACTGTGACTGAACACCAACCTCCCCTCCCACCATTCCTGGATTCCACTCCTATCTCCTCAGCACAAACACCTGTGCTATTTGCACCCACACCTGTGACCTCCCTGGACTGGGAGCATCTTGAGGGCAGTGACTGTTCTGATTTATCTGGGCCTCGAGCTCAAAAGCTCAGTAAAGACTGCTTAACTCAGGCATGGCGATATATGCCTCCAGTGTCTCTGGAGGTTGAGGCAGGAGGATCCCAAGTTCAAAATCAACCTCAGCAATTGAGGGAGGCCCTAAGCAACTTAGTGAGACCATTTCTAAATAAAATATTTCAAAACGCTGGGAATGTGGCTCAGTGGTTAAGCACCCCTGAGTTTAATCTCTGGTACCAACCAACCAACCAACCAACCAACAAAACCCCAAAACTCTAATGAGGCCCCAAAATTCCTTTTGCCTTGTGATGTCATAGCTATCAGAGGGTCATAATGCCACATCTTCCTCCTGGGTCTGAGGTGAGGCTGGTGTGAACAGCCTTTCTGTGTTGCCAGCTGTATACAAGTGTAGCCCACACAATTATACAGAATAATGCTTGATAATGCTAATAAATGCCTGTTACCATTTTAGGTACTTACTATACCCTTAAATAGTTATTGTAGTGTATAGTCCTACTTAAAAAAAAAAAAAAAAAAGTTTACTGCGACCAGTGCGCTGGGCTGCTTTGGAGGCTGCCCTCTGTATTTTGTATCTATTTCTTCTTTTGATTGCATCATATTCTCTGATACTTTATTTAATCTCATGCTCTTGCTCATCTTTTCTCCAGGAGCAATACATTTCTTATAGCCTTGGGGTGTAGCTGGCCACACTCTGTGATGTTGCCCAGGGATGCAATCCCCCAGTGACGCATTTCTCAGAACTTATCCCTGTTAAGCAACACACCACTGTGTACAGTCTCATTTAAAACAAACCCCTGTGTCACCATTCAGGCAGAACACTGGTCATACCTCACAAGCCCCTGGGGTTTCTCAATGCTTACAACCCTCCTCCTCTCCTAAAAGTGATCACGATTCTGGTTTTTATGATAGTTATTCTTTTTTCATGGTTTATGACCTTTGTAAGCATTGATTTTAAAAAAGTGGTTTAGTTCTGCTTGGTCCTAAACTTTATATAACTGATGAGTACTATATCATTTTGAGTCTTAATTTGCTCAGCACTAAGTGAGATTCCTCCGTGTTGCTGCCTGCAAATGAAAGTCCTTCGGCATGTAGCGGAGAGGATTGAGCACAGGCATGAGAATGGCACAGAGCATTCTCAGCAGGTGGGCTCTATAGGCCATGTTGGCAATGGCAAGGGATGAATAGCAGGCGCTGTGTTAGTCAGCTTCCTGTTATTATAACAAAATGCCTGAGACAATTAATTTATAAAAGGAAAGGTGTATTTTGGCTCACAGTTCTGGAGTTTCCAGTTCAAGATGAAGTGGCATCATCAGTTTAGATCTCTGGCAAGGGTGGAGCATTCATAGCAGGTTGTGTGGGAGCAAAGTGATTAGGGAAGTAAAGAGAGAGAGAGAGAGAGACCAGGGTCTCACAATCCCCAATGACCTCAGAATCTCCAACAAGACCCCATTTCCTAAAGGTTCATGGAACTGCCAATAGCCCCACCCTAGGGACAAAGCCTCTGTGGTGTACCCAATATTCAAACTACAGAGGATGTCCACCATCACCTCAGCTCATGTGGAGAAGACTTTTGAATGTCCTTCTTGGGAGCTGATGCGAAGCACTGAGGCCAGGAGGTGAGCGTAGGACAGAAATACCAGGAGAAGGGGGAGGAAGGAGACCACCATGGCGATGCAGAAGCCCATGAGGGCCTGGGGGGTGGTGTCGGAGCAGGAGGCCTGGACCACAGCCAGGTGGTCACAGAAGCAGTGATAGATGTAGGCAGTATTGTTATATGCCCTCTGGGAGGTCTGGACCACTGCTGGGATAGGCAGGAGGAGGGCGGTGAGCCAGGCACTGGTCACCGGTACAGCATTGATGTGAGGGGTCATGTGGACAGGAGAGTTCAGTGGGCGACAGACAGCCACATAGCAATCATGGGCCATGACCACCAGGAGGAAGGCTTCTGAGCAGCAGTAGCTGTGGCAAAGCTACATCTGCTAGAAGTAGGTGGAGAAATAGAGGAAGCAATCCCCAACTGAAATAAGGACAGCATTTTGGAGATAGTGGTTACAAGGACTGGGAAGGTTGATCAGAAGGAAATGCATGGATCTGGAGTGTTGGCGCACACCTGCAATCCCAGAGACTAGGCAGGCAAGAGAAATGCAAGTTCAAGACCAGCCTGGGCAACTTGACTAGACCTTGCCTCAAAACAAAACAAAACAAAACAAAATTAAAAGGGCTGGGAGTGTAGCTCAATGGTAGAGCACCCTGGGTTCAATCCCCACTACTGAAAAGAGAGAGAATGAGAGATAGATAGATAGATAGATAGAGAGAGAGAGAGAGAGAGAGAGAGAGAGAGAGAGAGAGAGAGATGCAATGCACTGGGGCTCGTGAAGGCTGGCCTCTGCCAGCACAGCCACTGGGAGCAGGGCGTTACCCATCTGGATGAGCAGGTAGATTAAGAAGAAAATCAAGAAGACGGGGAAGAAGAGGGACTCTTAGAGAGGGAATGCCCACCAGGCAGAGACAGTCGAGGAGACCTCTGATCCATTACAAGTAGTGTCTCCTACAGCGGATCAGACACAGTCCTGTGTCTACAGACAGAACTGGGTACAGTAGGACATGTCTGGACACATCAGGGATACTTTAATTACCATGTGCACTTTTTTCTTTCCAACCATAGATGGTAATCCAACATTTTCTTTGTGTCAGGATTTTCATTGCACAATTAAGATGCCCAGATTGTGAAGTGTCCAACAGCCATGGTTGAGAGAAGTGGTCCTGTTAAGTGAGGAAAAGAGGTGCATGCAAATGCCTTAAGGGCTATGGGAAGAAGGAAAGACACTTACCAAGAGTGGCAGCAGACTCAGGGACCCAGAGTGCAGCCCACAGAGGGAAGAAGGTTCCTTCCATCAGAACTATTGCATAAGGCAGAAGGTAGTTTGGAAACCAGTGGATTCCATGTAACAACATGTATGCAGGGTGGAGTGTTTTGGATGCTACAGAAGAGATCTAATACTTGGATAGGAGCTAGATTAAAACCTTTAAGCAGCCTTCTAAACCTAGATCTAATGGTTCTAAAACAAAAAAGTTACATGTGTGAACCACATTCCTAATATTGTGAGATTGGAAGTCAAATGAGAAAAAGACTTGAGATGGATCCATTCCAATGTTTAAACGTCAACCTTAAAATCAAGTAGGTCCTTTAAGGGGACTGATGTTTTAGGCTGGTGCTGCAGCCACAGCTGAAGGAACATGCGGGGTGTAGAAATGTTGAGCAGTCACTAGCCAGACTTTGCCCACGGTCACACCATGCTCTTAATTACCGTCACTGAATACACGCCCATCCAGTGCAGGGAGCTCTTCACAACTCCTGAATGGACTTCTTTAACTCAAGACTTTCTGAAGACAACAGATGCACTGGCTGAGTGTGCGAGAGGTCAGGTCCTAGAGAAAAACGCCATGCGGTTTACTCGGAGGTTCTCCTCCAGGCCTCCAGGACTGTCCACAGCCTCCATAAGGATTGTGCCAGTGAACTCTGAGGAATTGGAGGGTTCCTTCAGGGATGGCCGGAAGAGCCACTTCTGCTCTGCTTTGGATTCAAGTCCTCTTCTTCTGTGCCCGACTCCATCCTCTAGCTCCATCTGGACAGGGACGCCATGTTTGCTCTTGGTCTCTGTCTGTCCATCCTCTTGAGGACCCCTGTCCTGTGCTATCTTTATCTTTAACTGGACTCCCCTTCTGTGCCCCTGTGCTGGGGCTCTCTGTGTCTGTCTCCCACTACCTGGGTGCCCTGGGACCTGCCTTTGTATCTAGTCCCTTGTCACATGGTACAGCGATCAGCCATCCTGATTTGCCCAGAGCTGTCCTGGTTTTAACACTGAAAGTCCCTCGGTTTCCCAGACCATGGACACCCCCAGAGGGCTGACTTTGTACTGCTGTATGTCCTTGATAGAAGGAGTTTTGTCCCCTCATGGCATTCAAGTTGAATTCTATTTTCCCATGGCGGGAAAGCGGGCCCCACATCCCGCCAAGTCGCTCTGTGGGTCTGCCCTCCTCCTGGCTGCTGCAGATGTCGCTGTTTAGTGTCTTCCTGCACGACCCTAGAGCTTCCTGTCTTTGTCCTACTTCAAAGGGCGTCACAGAGAGCTGAAAAGTAGTAGAGCCAGTGTTACAAGAGAAGACCAACCATTGCAGAGAATCGTTCCTCTCACCTGAGGCTGTGGAGGAAGGTTACTGGGTGCGATGGTCATTTATCCCTTCCCAAATGCATGTTGAGACATCCCCCAAGGTCATATGCATTTGGAGGCGGAGCCTTTGGGTAATACTTAGGACCAGATGAAGTCATGAGGGTAGGACCCCCATGGTTGCATCAGTGACGTTTAAGAAAAGGAAGAGCTAATAGGTTGCTCTGTCCCACCTGTGATGCCCTCCATCACATCATGACCCAGCAAAAGGCCCTCACCAGATGCCCAGCAGATGCAGTCACCATGCTCTTGGACTTCCAGAACCACAAGCCGAATAAACCTTTGTTCTTTATATATTTCCCAGTCTGTGGTATTCAATTATAGCAACAGAAAATGAACTGGGCATTCCCAGCGGCCCACGACCTCTAAAATGAGACTTTTCAACTCACAGAACTGAGCTGAGGGAAGACTTGTCCCTCTATTGCTATCTAGGGCCAGGTAATGTGACCTCTGGAACACAGCCACTTCTAGTCTGATGACACCTTGGGCTTTCCCAACACTACCTTTGACTTCTCCTTCTAACAAAATCTTTCTCATGTTGCAGAATATGTAAGAGTGGAAACAGCCCCACGAGATAATGGCGTCCATGTCCTTTCCTCACAAGTGAAGGAATCGGACTTGAGTGGGGTGGGGGAGGGGTTGCCACAGTACAACAGCTGGCCCATGACAGCTGGTCCTAGAACCAGGCTTCCTGGCTCAGGCTACCTAGAGAACTTGGAAGTTCTGATTTCCACCAGATGGAAAATTAGGGGAAAGGTTTTATTTTCCTCTATTTCTTAGATTGACATCAGAGACAGCTACAAATCAGTTTTGTTCTGAGGGCATTGAAAATAGATTCAGATGGACTGAGTACTAAGCGGAGGCTGCAAATAGCTAGGAAAATGCTGTTTTGAGAAATGACTTAAGGAAGAGAGAGATTGGGCTTGTTTTCATTTAAAAAAAAAAAAAAGCTCTGGGCATCCAAGCTTCACATTGAGCATAAGTTTTTTACACTTGTTTCCTGACACCTAATAAACCCTCTATAATGATTTTTAAAAATAAATTAATTAATAAATGAAAGGGTTAACATGAGTTAAACTGAACGTTTTCCCTAATGGACCAGTCAGTGGAGATTTTTCTTACAGCATCTAAAGAAATACAAACCACACTTCTCTAAGTAATTCTAAGAAGTTGTTCCCACCACCCACCGGGACCATGAAGGTGCAGCGTTTGCTGGGCAATGCCAGAACACCAGAGCCTTAAGCGAACAGTGTTGCCTAATCTCCACGTCCCCTGTTTTTCAATAAAAATGAGTCAGGCAAGGGGAGAGACTTGGTCAAGGTCACACAGAGAGCTGGTGGCACTTTCACCAGACGCCATATACTGCTCACTGCCCAGGACTCCTAAAGGCTCGGCATGGGAGAGGCACTGAAGCCCGCCTGCCTAGGCCCAGCTTATCTGGGGCTTGTTGTGCACATATGCATCTGTTTCTCTCTAGGCCTGGGGGTTCCTTGGGCCAGGGATTCATTCTGACCCCTCTCAAGAAAGTCAACACATCAGTGGGGCACAGGCACCTTGCTTCCTAATTTTCCAGAGGCAGAGATGGGGCCATGGCTATCCTGACAGTCTCAGGGCTTTCTGTCCAGCCCTGCTAATAAGAGGCCATCAGCTCTGTCAAGAGCTTCTGGTCCAGCTCCCTTATTCTTGCCAAAGGGATGGGGAGGCCCAGAGAGGGTAATAACCTGGTCAGAGTCACACAGCTGGCAACTCAGCAGCAGAGCCAGGCAGCCCAGCATGCCATAACCTAGAGAAAAAAGAGAGTAGCTGCTCCCTCCTTCACAGCCCCTCTCAGAGCTGGGTGAAGGGCCCTCACCGCCTCCTCCCAACACCCCGTCCCCCTGGAGCTGGGCCCCTGCTGGGCCTGTGGCCACGTCCCCTTAGCCTTCTTGCCCTTGCAGCTTGGCCCAGCCCAGACGTCCTACCCAGGTCTCTGCAGTGGCTCCTTCCTCTCCCCATTCAGCTCAGGGCTGAGCCTGGTGGCACTAAACTCCCAAGCTCTACGCCTCCCTGTCTGCCGGGGCCTTGACCCCTTGAGATACCCTTCCACTGTGACCTTGAGTAACGTTATGGGGGACTCCCAGGTGGTTTGTTAGCAGCTACCACTGGGCCTTGTTGATAATTTGAACAACAAGATTAATAGTCCTCACTGGGACATAAAACTTATGGTCTATGGGGGCCGAATAAATAACAATCGGTACCGCCAGGTGATAGACAGGGAACAGGCTCAGGTGGAGAGGGTGGCCTGGCCACAGCAACCCAAGCCCAAGCAGATCTGAACCCTCAGATTTGCTCACCCCCAGTCCAGCTTCTGTGCCCACCAACAATGCGAGAAAGGGCTGTGAGTTCTCTCTGTGACCATGAAGTGTGCACACCACTGGGCTGTGGGGCCCCTCTGCATGCTCTGAAGCTAAAGGAGCAAGTGTGACAGCAGAGGCCGCTTGGCTCCCCAGCCTTCCCTCTCTCTGTTGGCTCACACTCTCCTTCTTTCTTGTTCTTGCCCTTTCTAGATGCCCTATCATCCCAAGTCATCCTCCTCCAGGGAGCCCTCCATGACGGCCTCTTCCTCCAGCCCCAGTGAGCTCTCCCCTCTGGACGAACCAGGCCTGACTGCTGATGCTGCCATTTTAAGATTCCAACTGCAGCTCCACATTCATTCCACATTGAATCAAACTAGCTTTACACGGGCATTTCGTCACAGCCATCTGACAGGCCAGTGGGGTGGCCAAGGGAAGAGCTGGCCTCCACAGACGCTGTGAGCTGTGCGACTCAGGAGTCTGGAGGCCCAGAGGAGGGAGGACAAAGCAGGTCTGTCTCAGGGAAGACAGCTTTCCAAATCCCAAATTATAAGCAGATGAGGAGCCTTGTCCCAGGCCAATAAGGAAGGGGTAAACAAAGTCACCGTAGGG